TGATGGTCGAAAATTAATCCTAAAAATTTGGCTTCTTTTACAATCTTGATTGGAGTGCCATCTAAAAAGAGTTCAGGATCTTTATGAGGTTTATATTTCCGACAAAAATGGATACAATTGGTCTTGGTCTGTGAGAACTTAAAGCCATTCTCAAGACACCATTTATGAATTTTATTAAGACACAACTGTAATTGGCGTTCAATAGTATGCATATTTTTACCACGACATGAGATATTAAAATCATCTACAAACAAAGACCCATCAATTGAGTCATTTAATACTTTAGATAAACTATTTATTTTTATGCTAAACAATGTAACAGACAAAATACTGCCTTGTGGAACCCCCTGATCCTGATTATAATGATCAGACAGGGTTGATCCAACACGAACTTGAAATTGTCTGTCCGTTAAAAACTGCGATATAAAATGAGGCAAACGGCCTCTGAAACCAAAGTCGTGTAAATCTTTTAAAATACCATGTTTCCATGTTGTATCATAAGCTTTTTCAAGATCAAAAAAGATTGATACAGCATGCTGGCTATTTACAATGGAATTTTTAATGAATGATTCTAAACGAACCAGATGGTCAATAGTACTTCGATTTTTGCGGAAACCACATTGAATATTGTTAATAAGATTATTGGTTTCTAAAAACCATACTAAACGGTTATTGACCATGCGTTCCATGGTTTTACAAACGCAGCTAGTTAACGAAATAGGTCGATAGTTAGATGGATCAGTATGATCCCGACCAGGTTTCGGTATAGGAGTGAGTGAGTGAGTGAGTTAATATTTAACGTCACATCGGCAATATTTCAGCCATATCGTGACGAGAAGAACATTAATAATACATATATTTATACAATATAAAAAGCTGTCAACGAAGGACAGTACAATAACTAGAATATCACAGAATCTATTTAAAACTAGTTGAGAATATATAAAAGTCATAAATATCAGAGAACACAATATAAAAATGGGCTAGAGATCGCCAGCAACTGAAGATAGATCACCATGCTAGGGTCCATGGGGACTTACAGTACCTTTGCTTCCTGCATGGACCCCGGCAGGATTTATATCATCCCTTCAGTCACTGGCGACAGTTTACCAATTAAGCCAAACTAAAATGACGAATATTCTACGGTTAAAAACCTGGCATGCAGAAAAATACTTTGAATGATATGGGACTTACATACCCTCTTTAGGGGGACAATAATTTTACGCTACTTCAACCCCCCTCGAGGGTACAGCCACTAACAATCTCAGTTATGAATTTTGCACTACCAATCTTTAAAACAATACAACAATTACATCAAAATTTATGTATAAGTTCTATTTCTTTTAAAAAACATAGCATTAAATGAGAGTTAACTTTACTAAAAAGGTCCTTCACTGTTTTTACACTGAAATATTTATCCCTTGTGATGGAAAAATCAATACAGTCAAGCAGGACATGCTTGACTGTGATTCTTTCATCACAAGGGATGCAAAACGGAGGATCTTCACCTTTCAACAAATACTCGTGTGTATATCTGCTATGGCCAATACGACATCGTCGCATAATGACCTCTTCAAATCTGGACTGACAGCCCAAGTAGGTATAACCGATAGTTGGTTTAATTGCATGTAATTTATTGATTCCTACTTGGTTGTCCCACTTCTTCTGCATGAGATTCCTTATGTAACATCTAATAACAGGTTTATAATCACTGTATGGGATAAGAAGTGGTGTCACAGATTTGTTGAGAGCTACTTTTGCAGCAGCATCAGCCATTGTGTTACCAATGATTCCAACATGGCTTGGTAACCAACAAAAAACGATGTGGTATTGGCCAGTAGCAAGATCATTAAACAATTCAATAATTTTGATTAAAATCGGATGCGTACAGGATAGATTTTTAATAGCTTGAAGGCAAGAGAGTGAGTCTGAAAATATAATGAATTGTTTATGTTTTGATTGGTTATTGATATATTGTAATGCTGTGAATATGGCCTTTGCTTCGGCCGTGAAAATGGAACAGTTATCAGGTATTCGGTTTGATATAGTCCTGGATCCAATGACAGTGGCACTGGCAACAGCGTCACCATCCTTGGATCCATCTGTAAATATAGATTTGTAGGTATTGTATGAGGATCGTAGTTGGTTATATTCTTGCAGATACATTAGTTGATTTGTCTCAGATTTTTTAAAATTAGTGAGAGACAGGTCTACTTCAGGCCTTACAAGTTGCCAAGGGGGAGTAGACAAAAGACGGCAGGGAGATATTAAATCTAAGTCAATATTTGCATCTGCAATGTGAGACTTGATCCAAATGCCAAGTGGCGGTACAAGTTTTGGCTTTTTGTGAAACAGTTCCTCATTAAGAGGATGGAAGACGCAGTTATAAGCTGGATTTGATGGGTTTGTACGTAATTTAGTTATATACTGAAGGGATAATTTTAGTCGGCGATGTGCAAGTGAAGGCTCATCGGCCTCCACATACAGACTATCTACAGGAGAGGTTCTAAATGCCCCAAGACAGAGCCGCAGTCCTTGATGATGTACGCTATCTAATTTCTTTAAATTACTTTTAGCAGCTCCACCATATACAATTGAACCATAATCTAGTTTAGATCTAATAAGAGATCTGTACAGGTGAAGTAAGGTTGTCTGATCCCCACCCCACTTAGTATTTGCAACAACTTTTAGTAGATCCAGAGCCTTCAAGCATTTAGTTTTGAGATATTTTATATGAGGTAAAAACGTCAAGTGGCGATCAAAAATAAGACCCAAGAACTTGGTCTCCTTCACAACCTTAATTGGGGCACCGTTTAACAACAGTTCCGGGTCTTTATGCGGTCTATAATTTCTACAAAAATGGATACAATTTGTCTTTGCTTTAGAAAATCTAAAACCATTTTCAAGCGACCACTTTTGGATTTTATTTAGGCAAAGCTGTAGTTGCCTTTCTATTGTGTGCATGTTTTTGCCACGACAAGATATGTTGAAGTCATCTACAAAGAGTGACCCATCAATTGAGTCATTCAATACCTTGGAGAGACTGTTAATTTTGATGCTGAATAATGTGACAGACAAGATACTGCCTTGTGGAACACCCTGATCCTGATTATAATGGTCAGACAGGGTTGAACCCACGCGGACTTGAAAATGTCTGTCAGTTAAAAAACTGGATATAAACTGAGGCAAACGACCTCGCAATCCAAATTCATGAAGATCTTTTAAAATGCCATGCTTCCAAGTTGTATCATAAGCTTTTTCTAAATCGAAAAAGATGGATACAGCATGTTGTTTATTTACAATGGAATTTTTTATGAACGATTCTAAACGCACAAGATGATCAATGGTACTTCTATTTTTCCGGAAACCACATTGTATATCTGTAATGAGATTATTGGTTTCCAAATACCAAACTAATCGATTATTCACCATACGTTCCATAGTTTTGCAAACGCAGCTAGTGAGAGATATCGGACGGTAATTTGATGGATCTGTATGATCCCGTCCTGGTTTTGGTATAGGGACTACAATTGCATCACGCCACGAAGGAGGAAAAATCCCTGATGTCCAAATATCATCAAATATAGTTAAAAGTGTTTGGAGACATGATTGCGGCAAGTGTTTCAAAAGCTGATAATGAATATTGTCTGCTCCAGTTGCAGTATCATGAGCTTGCCCAAGGGCGGTATTGAGCTCATGTAGTGAAAATACTTCATTATAGTCTTCACCATTATCAGAATTAAAATTAACCTTTTTCTTTTCCTGTTGTTGCTGAAATGTCTGAAATTTGGCATCATAGTTGGATGATGAAGAATGCTTGGCTAAAGTTTCACCTAATTTATTTGCGATGTCAGATTTATCTGTTAATATATCATTACCATCTTTGAGATGTTTAATGCTGGATTTAGAACCCTTGCCTTTAATTCTTTGAATCATATTCCACACCTTTGATATAGGTGTGCGTGAATTGATTCTGGATACATAATGTCTCCAAGACTGACGCTTATTTTGTTTAAATGTACGTCTAGCCTTTGCACTATTTATTTTTAAAATATTCAAATTATGGACCGTAGGGTGTCGGCGGAAAAACTTTTCTGCCTTTTTTCTACGCTTTCTAGCCTGTTTGCAATCGTCGCTAAACCATGGTTTGCGAATGTGCGGGTTCACAGAGGACTTAGGAATGGTTTCATCAGCTATGTGTTTCAACTGTTCTGAGAACCTCTGAATAGGGTCTGGAATGTTTCGGAAAGTTTCTGGTTTTAGTGTTTCAAAACAACGAGTTTGAAATAAGGGCCAATTTGCTCTATTAAAATTCCACCTTGTTGAAGGTGGCACATCATTTGGGAGAACAGATTTTAATACTGTGGGAAAATGGTCACTTCCACAGAGGTCATCATGAACTGACCAGTCAAATTCGTTTAGTAAATTAGCATCTGTGAGTGACAGATCCAAAGCTGAATAAGTTCCTGTTGCAGGATGTAAGTACGTGTTTGATCCATCATTAAATATACATAAATTATTGTTCGTTATAAAATCTTCAAGGACCGTGCCCTTAGCGTTGGTATCAACACTTCCCCACAGAGGATTATGTCCATTTAGGTCACCCATGAGGACACAGGGTTGAGGGAGTTGGTCAAATAAAGACTGAAGTTCGGCCTGCTGAAGAGGAGAAGATGGTGGAATATACAAAGAGCAAAGAGTGAAGGCGATGTGAAATGTCAGCCGGACTGCAACGGCTTGAAGATTGGTGGTAAGAGGAATAGCTCTATGAATAATGTCTTGTCGGACTAAGATAGAAGAACCTCCAGTGGCTTTTGCTCCTGGAGGTGAGAATAAATTATACATATTAAATTTCCTGATATCACATTTATCTGTGTTTTTAAGATAGGTTTCTTGCAAACACATAGCTGATGGGTTAAAATCTTGAATTAAAAGTTGTAAATCATTAAAATTATTTCTAAATCCTCTACAATTCCATTGAATTATGTTTGACGATTGAGTCATGGTGGCTCAATCGGTGAACGCTCACGTACACGTGAGGAGGAAGGACTCCTACTACTGCTCTGTGACGATGGGGTGACATCCATGTCCAGAGCATCAAAGGAGTTATGGACGACTATATCTGAAGGTGAGGAGTTCCTAGAGGTCTGTTTTCTGTTAAGTTTTTTTCTTTCTTTTCTGGTCAATGGTTGAATATCTGGTTCAAGAGCCTCAGATTCTTCAGTGACAAGCACTTCAGCATCAGACACCTTATTATCTGGTTCAGAGATAGTCACAGTTTGGGTGGAAGATGTAATTGAAGTACTGATTGAAGTTATACTGACAGGTTGATCTGACTTTACCCAGGACAACTCTGTCTGAATAGAGATTGATGAGGTCTGTGGAGAGGAACGAGCAACAGCTGCAGAAAAGGATTTATTCATTGGTGTTGGAGATTTATTTTCAACAAGTTTCTTTGCCTCATGAAATGAAATGTTATTTTCATGCTTGACCTTTAGAATTTGGGATTGGGTTTGCCACATAGGACATAGCTTCGAAGATGCCAGATGTTTTCCTTTGCAATTTGCACATTTTATTTCTGCATCACAATCGGTGTTCTCATGTCCACCGCCGCAACGCTGACAAATCACAGAATGGTCACAATATTTGGAGCCATGACCAAATTTTTGGCACTTGAAACATCGGAGTGGATTGGGGACATACACCTCCACTCCGATGTTGATATACCCAGCTTTTATTGACTTTGGCAGTGCTGAAAGTGCAAAGGTAAAGAGATATGTGCTTGACGGGATGATGTCACCGTCTCTTGATTTCCTCGTAAAACGTTTGACTGCTGTCACTCCTTGGATTTTGAGTTCTTCCATAATCTCTTGTTCGGACATGTCGGACAGACAATTGGCTCTGTCACGAACAATGCCTCTGCAAGAATTCAAAGTTTTGTGCACAGACACAGCAACCTCAATATTGGCAAATGTAGTTAATGATAACAAATTGAGAGATTGCTGTCTCCGTGAACACTCAACAAGGAGCGAGCCACTACGAAGACGCGTGACATTCTTTACTTCTCCACAAATTCCAGATACAGCTTTGGAAATGGCAAAGGGATTGAGTTTAATTGGCTGTTTATTAGCTGCTTCAATGACCACAAACCGGGCCCATGAATCCAAAACAGGAGATGAATTTCCGGTTTGATCAGTTATATCTAGATCGACATGTCTACGTTTGGAACGGTTTGAACCAGGGTATTGGTTAGCCATGATGAAAGAAAATAATTCAGCACCTCTGCTCCCCACCCACCATGGAGTGCCACAAAGAGCGATGTTTTATTGCACCGGATCTCCAACATGCAAACATCAGGGATACAGAGGTGGTATACTCCAGTAAAAACAACATGAATAGCTATATTTGTCTATCAAATAAAATGCCAGGCTGGTCCGGCCCATGACAAGAAATTGAAGACATACAGAATTCAGAGGTCGAAAGTACCAGATTGGCCCATGAGCCACCGCCTTCTGGCGTAAGACTCTAGGCAATTTATTCAATGCAAAATTGAGAATACACACAAGGTATGCACGGCCAAGACCAAAATATACATTAAAATACATCACAGGTGTGCATATACGATATTACGCACAGGGCCTGGCATGACCAGCCGATTGATAAGACCGGGCCCATCTTACCACCCGTCTAGGCGAAGTAAGGGTCGAAGTAGTGTGTTGGGCAAAGGAACACAGTTCCAGGAACCAGTGCCCTCAACTACCAGACTCCCGTCCTCCGCCGACACAGGGACGCAACCCACGGCAAACGGGCTGCCCACTTTGGTCGCCTCTTACGACCAGCAATGGGGTGCTGTGGAAATATTCTACCCCGGTTCCACACGGGGGAAGAGCGATTAGCGCTACCCAGCACTCACCACGAGGAGGTTGCTCTTCACGAGTGCCTTTCGGTATAGGAATAACAATGGCATTGTGCCAGGAAGGAAGAAAGTGTCCAGTTGTCCAAATATGATCAAAAATATTTAGCAATGTTTCTAGACATGGATTGGGTAAATGTTTAAGGAGCTGATAGTGGATATTATCAGCTCCTGTTGCGGTATCATGAGCTTGCGTTAGGGCAGTATTGAGCTCATGTAGTGAAAATACTTCATTGTAGTCTTCACCATTATCCGAATTAAAGTTAATAGTTTTCTTTTCTTGTTGATTTTTATATTTCTGAAATTTGGGATTACAATTGGCTGATGAAGAGTGTTTGGCTAAAGTTTCACCCAACTTATTTGCGATGTCCACTTTGTCAGTAAGTAGACCATGACCATCTTTAAGATGATGAACGCCAGAATTTGAACCCTTCCCTTTGATTCTTTGTACCATGTTCCACACCTTTGTCATTGGTGTACGGGAATTAATCTTTGATACAAAGTTTCTCCAAGACTGTCGCCGATTTTGTTTGAACGTACGTCGAGCCTTGGCACCATTTATCTTTACATTATTGAAATTGTGAACTGTAGGGTGACGGCGAAAGTATTTTTCAGCCTTCCTCCTATTCTTCCTAGACTGTTTGCAATCATCTGTAAACCATGGTTTACGAATGTGTGGTTTAACAGAGGACTTAGGAATAGTTACATCAGCAATATTATTCAGCGTGTCCGTGAATAACTGAAGAGGATCAGGGACGTTAAGGAAAATGTCAGATGTCAATTTGTCAGTACAAAGTGTCTGAAATAATGGCCAGTTGGCCCTTTTAAAATTCCACCTTGACACAGGTGGCTCATTATTCGGGTTAATAGCAGAAAGTATCGTGGGGAAATGGTCGCTTCCACATAGATCATTGTGGACTGACCACTCAAATTCGTTATATACATTTGGATCTGTGAGTGACAAATCAAGAGCAGAATAAGTTCCAGTAGCGGGATGTAGATATGTGTCTGATCCATCATTATATATGCATAAATTATTATTTGAAATGATTTTCCCTTTGTTGTTGGTATCTGTGCTACCCCACAGAGGGTTATGCCCATTCAGGTCACCCATAATGACACAGGGTCTTGGGAGCTGATCAAACAAATCCTGAAGATCAGACTGCTGAAGAGGAGACGATGGTGAAATGTATAAAGAGCAAAGTGTGAAAGTTATATGTAAAGACAGACGGACAGCAACAGCTTGAAGGTTGCATTTAAGAGGGACGGGGCTATGGATGACATCCTGCCTCACCAAAATGGAAGCGCCACCTGTCGCCTTGTCACCTGGAGGTGAAAACGAATGATACGAATTGTACTGACGAAAATCAAATTTATCTGTATTTTTCAGGTAGGTTTCTTGTAAGCTAAAAGCTGATGGTTTAAAATCTTGTGATAATAACTGTAGATCATTGAAATTGTTGGCACTCGTGAAGAGCAACCTCCTCGTGGTGAGTGCTGGGTAACGCTAATCGCTCTTCCCCCGTGTGGAACCGGGGCAGAATATTTCCACAGCCTCCCATTGCTGGTCGTATGAGGCGACTAAAATGGGCAACCTGTTTGCCGTGGGTTGCGTCCCTGTGTCGGCGGAGGACGGGAGTCTGGTAGTTGAGGGCACTGGTTCCTGGAACTGTGTTCCTTTGCCCAACACACTACTTCGACCCTTACTTCGCCTAGACGGGTGGTAAGATGGGCCCGGTCTTATCAATCGGCTGGTCATGCCAGGCCCTGTGCGTAATATTGTATATGCACTCCTGTGTTGTATTATAATGTATATTTTGGACTTGGCCAAGCATACTTTGTATGAATTACCAATTTTTGATGGAATAAATTGCCTAGAGTCTTACGCCAGAAGGCGGTGGCTCATGGGCCAATCTGGTACTTTCGACCTCTGAGTTCTGTATGTCTTCAATTTCTTGCCATGGGCCGAACCAGCCTGACATTTTATTTGATAGACAAATACAGCTATTCATGTTGTTCTTACTGGAGTATAACACCTCTGTATCCCTGATGTTTGCATGTTGGAGATCCGGTGCAGGAAAACATCGCTCTTTGTAGCACTCCATGGTGGGTGGGGAGCAGGGGTGCTGAATAAATTACTTTCATCATGGCTCACAATCAATCTGGTTCGAACCGTTATGACAAGAAAAGACGTCTAGAAGCTGAGATTTTCTCGGCTGATGAAGATGTTTCTCCTTCACCAAAATCAAATTCTTGGGCTCGGTTTCTTGTAGTCGAAGCACTAAATGAACAACCATTAAAAATAAACCCTTTTGCCATATGTAAAGCCATTGAAGGTATTTGTGGTGAGGTAAAGAATGTTTCACGTCTCAGGAGCGGCTCTCTTTTGGTAGAGTGTGCACGGAGACAGCAGGCTATTAATCTTTTGCAATGTACAATCTTTGCTAACACGCAAGTTGTTGTCTCTGAACACCGAACTTTAAATTCGAGTCGGGGGATCATCCGCGACAGAGCACGTTGTCTGGCGGAAATGTCAGAAGAAGACATTCTTGAGGAACTAAAAGGACAAAGCGTCACGTCGGTGAAGCGTTTCACTAGAAAGGATGGGGAGAACATTGTTCCAACAAATACATATTTGTTCACATTTTCACTTTCAACCATTCCCCAGTCTATAAAGGCAGGCTATTTTAACATCGGAGTGGAGGTGTATGTCCCCAATCCACTCCGGTGTTACAAATGTCAAAAATTTGGACACGGCTCAAAATCATGCACTCGTCCTACTGTTTGTCACCGTTGTGGTAGCAATCATGACGGTTTCGATTGTACAGCAGACCTCAAATGTATAAATTGTACGGGTCAACATGTAGCGTCATCCAAATCCTGTCCTTTTTGGAAACGTGAAAAAGATATTTTGACTATCAAATGTCAAAACAATGTTTCTTACCTTGATGCTAAAAAACTCTTTGATAGCCGGACACCTTCACCAAAACATTCGTATGCTGCTGCTGCTGCTGTTACGGTCTCTCGCCATTCAACCAGTAGATCTATAGAATGTCAGACTGACTTGACTTGGACAATTTCTGAGCATCCGGTTCCTCTGACTACAACATCCGAGAGTCAGACAAATCATTCCGTCAGTCCAGGTGCTATATCTTCAACATCTCCGCCAACTCCGAAAATACCATCTTCTGAAATGTCAGCTCCAAACAAACCTTCAACGGAAATGGCAAAAAAACAAAAGAAAAAACAAAGTAAAAAAATTACATCAAAGATCCCAACTGTCACTGAAACATCTGTAGATGTTCATAACTTTTTCGAGCCTCTTGAGATGGATGTTACCCCATCTTCACACCACAACAATAGTGGTGACTCATCTTCACATTCACGTGAGCGTTCTCCTATAGAACCACCATGAATCATTCTAGTCTAATTCAATGGAATTGCAGAGGGCTTAGGCACAACTTTAATGAACTACAGTTATTAACAACAGATTATATTCCATCAGCAATTTGTTTACAAGAGACGTACTTAAAAAATACAGATAACTTTGAATTAAGGCAGTATAGTTCGTATCATTCTTTTTCTCCTCCAGGAGATAAAGCTACTGGAGGAGCTTCTATTTTGGTGCGGAGGGGCGTTGTTCACAGTCCTGTTCCGCTTGATACGAATATGCAAGCTGTTGCAGTTAGACTTACACTGCATATTGCCTTCACACTTTGCTCCTTATACATTCCTCCATCTTCAAATCTTCAGCGTAATGATCTACAAAAACTGTACGACCAGCTCCCAAAGCCCTGTGTCATCATGGGTGATCTAAATGGTCATAATCCTTTATGGGGAGGTTCTATCATTAATCAAAAGGGTAAAGTCATCGAGGATTTTGTTTCTGATAATGACCTCTGCATTTTTAATGATGACTCCAACACTTACTTGCACCCTGCTACTGGTACGTATTCATCATTAGATCTG